GTAATTTTTTCTGACCTTTTTTTCCACAGTGGTGCTGAGTTAGCATATAAAAGGTTTTGTTAGAGGCTAAGAGAGAATGAACTAAATACCTAATTAAAAATTATGACGAAATAAAAGTATGCGTGAAAAGTAATAGTAGTTAAAAAATGTCATAACATGTTTGTAGCTTTTTATACTTTTTCATTTTTATGTCAACTATAATTTATAGCTATTGTTTTAACATATCAAATTTTAGTCAATTAAAATTCAGGATAACTTGGTTATATTTACAATTATACTTAAATTAAAATTATGAAGTGTCAAGCTCACTAGTCCAGTTTTTGTTTCCCAAAATTTTAAGCATGAATTTTTAACATATAGTCGCAGTACTGAGCAATATTTAACTAAGTATTAATATAAAACAGCAATATTTAACTAAGAAATGAAATCAATTTTGGATCATAATTTTAAAAATACTGCTCTTTTTGGTTTTGAAGCAATGTTTTACACGTTTTTTTAATGTTAGAGTGCTTAATTCCATAACAAACAGAATGAAACAGTAGCTTTGCATAAAACACAAATAGATACACAAGCTTTCTTTTCAGATAAAAGTAAATATACTGTGAGGGCACAAAATTTTACTCTAATTCAATTAAAACTGTCAGTTACCTCTTTAAAAAAATTACTGATATATTCTAGATCAAAATATAAAGTTTAAAATTTTTATTTTTAACAGATCTAACATAACAATATCAACATAACATTATAAAATGTATATAAATGTAGTTGAAGAGAGAAGAACAATTTCTATCTTGAGGAAAAGCACTGGCAAACAAATACTGAGATGCATTTTGTTTAAAAAGTTACTTAGCATATTTTATAAAAGTAAAATCAACTGAAGATGATATATATTATATTCTATTTCATAATGTAGTAGGAGAGGGTGTTCTAACTTTGAACTGAGTATTTAATCAGACCATCTCGCATTCAGTATATGTATTTGATGCTTTTAATATGAGATACTATCTGCAGGTTATTGACCATATCAGGTTTTTCACACATGTGTTAAAGAGTTTTTCTGATTTTGAGTTGCTGAGTAAATTTTCAATCAATTTGATTGGAATAAAAGTGTAATTCAAATTTAAATACCATATAGTAGTGCATAAACTTTTAGAAGATGTATAATTTTATTTACCTAATATTATCAACATGCTTTTTAGACATGAGAATGATAAGCTATATAAAAATAGCTAAGTTCTGTTCACTGAGATTTGCACCAGAAAAAAAAGAATACCCACTATACAATTAAAAAATCTACTAAAACACTGAACATAGTTAAAATATTAGTGTAACAAATGAAAATAGTGTTGTTAACCATCTACACAACTGTCATAATCACACATTCTTTGTCCTGATCAAAATATCAAAACAAAAAAATCTAAATGTTCTTGAATATTCTCAAATACACAAGTTTGATCACTTTTAAGGGCATATCAAGCTCAGATTTTATAAATTACAGCAGGAATAAAAATAAATCCCTAGAACAAGAGAAATGAGTAAAACAAGAAAAGATTTTCAAATTTTATTAATTGCTCCATTTTATATATATATATAAAAAAAAACTCTGAAAAATCAACCTCTTAATCATTGTTACCTTCTATTATTATAGGAATAACTTGTGAACAATAGTTGAAAAGTTAAAATAGGTAATTTTAAGTTACAAGTATTATTATTACTTATTATAACATACTATTATTGTAACATACTAGAGAAGAACTTATAAATATCATCATTAGGTCTGTAAATATCAACTGATCCTTTTGCTGAAACTTCACACATTAATAGTCCAACAAAATATTTTAAATTACTTAGTGTAAATAAAAAAAATCTTAATATGATATATAAAGCAATTTTACATGCTATTTATAAATATTTTAACTTTTTTCAAAATTAGAGACAGGCAAAAAAAAAAAAAAAATAAATAAATAGCAAGAGTTCTATGATACAAAGTGAACAAGTACGTTAAATGTTGAAGAAATGATAAATTTACCCCTCAAATATTAAACAATATTTTTCCATAAATTTCACTTTTTAAAACCTAATTTTTCTATAGTTTGTAAGCACATGAAGAAAATTATGATATACAGTAGGGAACCTATTATCCGGAACGATCGGGACCATCGCTATTCCGGATAACTGATTTTTTCGGTTTTCTGAATCGCTGCAAAAAGCCGTTTTTTTATTGTTAAACCTAACTAAAAAAAAAAAAATATTGGAAATAATCTTAAAAAGAAGAAAAAACGATGAAGTAGTACACTAAAGATTATTTCCAAAATGATGGTAAGGTAAAGATCTTTCAAAATAGAAAGAAAAATCCTAAAATCTTATGAGGAAAATAATTTTTTTTTTTAAATGGCGGAAAAATTTATCGAATTTCGTTCCGGTTTTTTGGTTTTCCGGTTTTCTGATTTCCGGATAACGGGTTCTGTACTGTACTATATTTATTTGTTTTTAGTATTAGAATATAATTGAATAACGTTATTATTATTTCAATAATAGTTTTAGTAGAATAAATAATGTTGAGGTTAAGAAAGAAGGAACTCTTTAGAGTGAAAAGAAAAAACAATTATTAAAAGTAAACCATTTTCCAGAACCATTCAGAGGTATCTGTTGAAACCTACTTGAAGTCAATCCACTTCAAGAGTACAAATTAACAAGTTTTTGTCAACTAAGCAGACAAAAACTTGTCAATTCATAAAAACTTCTGATTAGGCTTTTTAAAATTTTATTAATTACTATGCCATAATTTAAAGCCAGTATGATATTATAATAAATAATAATTACCTCAACTTAGAAATTTGTTGTTCTTCCAACTAGTTACAGATCTCATAAAAAGGATAAAATACATACCCGTAGCACAGTTAGTGTATTGTCCATTTTTACAACTTGAATATCAAACTCTTTCACTGACAGTTATAAACAAAGGCCGATATAAAAACATTACAATCCTTTTGATTAGCAATGATTATAACACTGCCTCATTTACAAAAATGAAAAGTCAACAAAAGAAAAAACCTACCTAGTAGTTTATTATTATTTTTTTAAGATACTTAGTTACATGCCTAGAAATCTGAAATATTTATGATTATTGATGATAACCTCATTATCACACAGTTTTGAACTTTTATCAGAAAATTAAGAACTGCAGTTTAGCAACAAATTGCAAACTGAAGAAAAATATACTTTGCATGTTTTTGATGCGATCAAAAATGGGAGGCAAAATTGACAATTAGCTTTAATTTTCCTTTTACACCTACCAACTGTAGAGAATTTCAATAAACAAAACAGAAATTAAATTCCTGCGCCAGTGATAATTGAACTATGAAGTCATCAGAGATTAACAGGAGTTAAGTTAAACCCACTCAAATCAACTAATATCTCCACTTTTTTAACATTATCAAAAATGTTCATCTTTTGAAATTTATCTTCAATTTGTTTTTCATTGTTTACCATCAACTTTTTGTATTTTCAATCTACTAATGCGCATAAATTGACAATCTTTACTAGACTAATGCACAAAATTTTTCATTCAATAATTTTAATTCTATAGATAATGAAATAATAAGCTAAGGATTTAGTAAAATAGCAATATTATTCCTTTATGATAAAAAATCCCAAAATTAACTTAATATATTAAAAAAATTTAAAAGAGTTATTGGAAACTGTTGAAATACCTCACATTTAAAAAATAACAAAAAATAATCCAGAGAAAGTAATATGTGATTAACTAATAACTTTATAAATCTTAATAGTTTTTCAGGAAAATATTTGTTCTTAAATACTTAGTTGTTAAACAGCACTGTAAAAGCTTAATTATTTTTTGTCACCAAGTTGTCACCATATATGTCACTAGTGAAATTATTAATGATGCAAAATTATACGCAAAATAGAAAAAAAATTTTGAAATTGTTTTATAAAATTGATTTACAATTTTAAGCTTAGCTAGCGAACAATACTATTATTTCACTTTTTAGTTGCAGTAATTAATCTTACTTCACAGTTTATCTAAGAAAAAAATAATAGCCATGTTAACCATATGAAGTGTATAAGCATGAAGAATGATATTTTTATAAATTAATCCGTGGCAAATTAAGCCCCTGGACAAATTCATACTCCTTTTGAAGGTAATGTTAAGTAACATGGGAGAAAACCAATTAGTTAGGTGGTCATGGAAAAGTATAAACGATGCAACAAATTAACAATAACAATTAAGGTGAATTATTCTAAATGTATAAAATATATTTGCTGAAAAAATAGTTAAAAAATCCACTATACTATACAACAATCTAATATATTGGTCTTCTAATATATCAACTTATTTTTTAATATATTACATCATTTTTCATTCATAATGTAAAATGCTTCTAATTTCTAATTTAAGACACTCTAAATTTATCTTCTTTTTTGCTAAAAAAATCCTAGATTTTGAAGGTAATAGAGTCTTAAATTAATTAGAAAATTTATGCACCCCATTCCAGTTTATAGGAACTTTAAATTAACATTCACAAAATTTGAAAAAATTAACAAAAATCTCATAAGTATAAGAAATGCAATGTGCATAGACTTAAATATAAATGCTTGACAACAGCATCAGAAAAAAAAATTTACCAGGAACTTTTTAATGCTATATTTTGGTTATGCCTAGAAAATGTCAGTTAAAAAAGCAACATATATATATATACATATATATATAACTCAAATAATACCAAGAAACTAAAGCAGTAAGATATTATTTGATTAAAAAACTTTGTTCACCATATATGCAAAAGGAAATAAAAGTTGACCTGTTTCAAGCACTCAAAAAGAGGCACCCATTCTTAAGACTTGCCAGGTGTGAATGAGAATAAACAAAAGTGATTTAAAAATTTTAAATGATGTTATCTAGATATTTTTGAAGTCAATAAAGTTTTTTAATCGAGCAATAACATACATGCAGTTCTTAAAATAAAAATGAAGCTTACATCTGATAACATCTGGAGGTAATTCAGCAGGAACATTTTCTCGAATTATCATTTCATTTCGTCTTTGTTTTCCTAGAAAATAAAATTAAAATATAGAATATATTATTGAATAGAATTATGTCAGACACAAAGAACTCTACAAGAATATTAAAATACTAAAAAAACTATAAGGAATTTCTTCATAATTATAATTTTTTTACTTTTCAATTAAAAATAAAACAGCATTTCATTAACTTTTATTGAATATTATATTTTATTGGAAAATAAATATCTAAAACTGATAGTTTGAAAATCATTTACAAAGCCATTTATAATAAAAAAGAGTATTTTCTTAAACAAAAAAATGACATAATGAAGGTATTTTTAAAGGATGGGGTACTATGGATTTCATCCAAGAATAATAAGAAAAACTCATTAGAGGAGCAAGTGTCAGTTTCAAAAGAGTAAAATTTTCATATAAACAGTACTAGAAGCTCTATGAAATTTTTAACATACTAGTAAGATATATCAAGGTATACTGATGGTGGTGAACACTATGGCACGATACAATGACAAAGTGACTATAAAATATCTTAAATGAAAAAAAATTGCAGTCTAATTTGCAAGGTACTTAATCCTTGTATTTCATCATTTTCTTTTCTTTTAAGATAAGCTTTAAGAAATTGAAGTAAATGCCATGTGGTTACAGAAACATTTTCCAACTACATTTTTTTTTTATAATTCAAAACTAGCTCGATGCACTTTTTAAACTAATCTTTTAATTACAACTTTATTCTTTTTACGCGGCTGAAACCGGTTTGCACTTGTTCACGTTCGTGTATCAATTGGTTTACATTGTAATGCAATACTTTAAAAATAAATGCAAATAGGAAGTATATGAAAAATCTCCTGAATAAAAACACATCTCATGTATGTTAAAGTATACAAGTAATGCATATAAACTCGTGCAAAACTTGCAATTATTAAAAGAACTACAGTACGCCTAATAATTTGGCCTAATTATTATAATATACTAATATAATATACTAATATAATACCTGATATATTTATATAATATATCGTGTAATTTATCAAGTCATTGAATTTATATTATATACTGTCTAATTTAACCAATTGATACACGAATGTAAACAAGTGCAAACAGGTTTTAGTTGCGTGAAAACAATACAGCTATATAGTATCACCTGATAATTAAGATTTTACATAAGATCTTCAAGTGTGTCTAATAATTTGACAAGGGACTGCAGATATTAAATTGCTTAAAAATATTTATTATCTTAATTAAGGAATACAGATAACCAATGCGGCAATTACCATATTGCTTTATCTCCCTCCCCTCATAAATCAATGATTAAAAAACATTTCTTGTATTATACCGCTAATAATTTAAGATAGCTTTATATACTTTTTAAAACTCTTAGCTAATGTTTCTACTTAACTAATTACATAAGTAATGTCATCATAAACATTTGTTGAGGATAACGAAAACTATCTTAATATAAGAGTATTTTGGTTTTTCTTCTAAAACATTTTCTTACAGAATAAAAGATGTTTATTGTGTCTTCTCTAAAAGTTCTGAAAATGGATTAAGTTGGTTTTGTAACCAAAAGAAAAATTAAATCAGTAACAAAAGCTATTAATTTTGTTAATTATATTTCGATTTTTACACTGAAAAAAATTAGATAAATAAATCAGTATTCATAGTAAAGGAAAAAAAAACAATTTTAAATTTTGAGCAAATATTAAGTACCCTACTTCATAAATTAGTTATAAAAAGTAATATATATATTAGTAATTTCAGATACATACAGCGATATAAAAATAATTAAGCATTAAAGAATAAGAGCTACTCAAATAAGCTTTTAAAAATTAAATAAGAGTTTCGCAAGCTATGGTTGTCAATCCTATATGGGGTGGCATAGTTAAATTTGGAAATTACGAAAAGCATACTATGTCATTTGTTTTCTATCGTACAAAGTACTGTAAAAAATAACTAAATTCATGTTTCTTCACAAAACTTAATTTCAAAACATATACTAACGTAGAATATTTCCCAAGAATAAAATCTCCCAAATTATTTAAAAAAAATTTTTTGTTTAAGAAATGAAATTTTTCTGTTCTACATCCACTTTTTACATACGTAAAAACTTTAAGCCAATTTTAAAATCCTCTTTTAGTGAAAGAACGAAAAAATTTTGTTTCACAGTTTTATCATAATTTTAATTTTTTATCCATGACTTTTTGACCAAAGGCTGTATTTTAAAATAATATATTCGCTACGATTCTATTGAATTCAGAAACATTATGGAAACAGAAAAATTCTGTTAAAAATTTAAAGAATAATTAAGGAAATTTGATAGATTGTTACATTAATGTCAACTTTTACACATAACTACATATGAAATCATAGGACGTCTACAACCTCTAGACAATTACTTGGATTTTTATAATTATCTTTATTCTTTTTTCTTTATCATAGCTAAAATATGCAAATTTTGATAACTTAAATCTGTGTTAAATATTCTATGAAAAATAAATGAAAATATTTGACAGCTTTTTTTGTTAACTTTGTCTTTTTCAGTATATATGTAATAATTATAGTTCTGTCATTCACAAAAAAAGTAAAGGCAAAATTTAAGCAATTTATCAATTCTTAAATTAAATTACAAGTATGCAAAACTACATCTCAAGAATTACTAATTGAATATTACATATTAAATAGACATGATAATAGACATGACCATTTGTATTCCACAATGAAATGGTTAAAGTCAGTGCACAAATTCTAATTTATAGCTAAAGCATTTTTTTTTTAATTATTTTTTTATGAGCTTATACAAGATTACGCTTATATAGTATTACAAGATTTTAGATAACATTCTTTTTTACAATTTAATTATTGGTTTCTAAAAAAAATTAGAATTCACTAATTTTAAATTTATAAGCACATCACATTATTAACAAGGCAATTTTTAACATTCAAATACTTTTAAATTATTACCTTCATCAGTCAATATTTCAGCTGTATAGCAAGGAAGCATGGAATGAAAAGATGCAGTTATTAGTGATAACACAGCAAACAGTGATTCATGCATTGATTATTGATAATTTCAAGAACATTAAAGATAACAAGCATAATAATTATAAATAAGGAAGAGTTATCTTGGGTAAAATAAACACAAATAAAAATATTTAAAAGATGTACAGCTGTTGTAATGTAATAAACAAGCATCATCATCAAGGTATAGAATCTTTTTTTTTAAATACAGAATAGATGCTATGATAGAGAATGTCATTCTTTACCTAGGATCTGATAATAACTATTTACAGAATCAAAACAGCTATATGTCTTTCAGTTACTTTTATTTCTGCCTTTAATTTGCTTAATTTAAGCAAAATAAAGTTTAAAAAAATGTTTCTAAACATTCATAATCTAAAGGTTTTCTAAATTTAATTAATGTCATATTAATTAGAAGAAGTAACAAACCATGCAATTCTCTTTACTACTAAAGCAATGTTATAAACATTTGAGCAAATGAAGCACAAATAAAAACACTCTAAAGATATTCTGATAAAGACAGAAATATGAACTAATTTTAAAAAATGGAAATTTCACACTTCACGTGTCAAATGCAAAATTAATATTCAGTTTAATAAAATATTTAAATCACAATAAGTATAATAACTAATATAATGTAGAACAGAAAGCAAATCACACAATTACAATAATTTGAGCCACTACTAACTTAATAAAGGGGATACCTCTATCCTTAAAAATTAGGGAAGTGTTTTGAATATAAAAAAGCAGTAGCTGGTTTTTAAAGACTTCTCATATTAGCTACTTATTGTGATTTTGACTTTCTCATATTAGCTACTATTTTCCTTGTATTAGGCACATAAGATACATTTTTTTCACATAATGTAGCCTGAAAATTTTATTAATTGTGGTAGTCACGGAGATATTCTCTCAGCAGTAGACAAATGATAAAACAACCTTGCCACCATTTTTAATTTTCAAAAGCACTGTCCTGGTAAGTAAATGTATAAAGTTACTATATTTTGCATTAGCTTAATTTGGCAATGTACGTGTAATTTAAATTGGTCATTTACTGACATAGTCTATTTAAGTATTTTATTTTTGTTCGTTAAAAATATAAACATTTGAAATGGCAACAAGAAAAGCCAAAGGAAACCTGACAGATTACATAATTTTCTTGTCTTTTTTAGGTGATAGAAAAAATTGCCTTGCATAAAACCACTTGTCAGAATAGGTAAAAAGAGAATATATAGGTATTAAAAACTAGTGTCATGCAATTATAATAATATATCAAATTAGCATTTTTATTCCAATTTAGTTTTAAATGATTAATTCACAAAGAAAGCACTATTTAAAATACAAAGGGCTTAATGTTTTGATTAATCTAAAATATAATAAAAGTATTTTATTCCGAAGTTATATATCTTTCTGCAAAATTTATTTATTTATTTTTGATAGTAGGAAGAGGTTTTGTTTCAACATGAAATATATTACAGTGAGTGATCGGTTAACGAACAGATCGGTTAACGAACAAATCGGTTAACGAACACTTTCAGGAAAGTTTTTTATGTTCGGATAACGAACACATATTCGGATAACGAACACTTTCAAAAATTAATATTAAACATTTGTTATCATTTTGCATACAAAATAAGATCACTGAAAGGATAAATGTTTAAAGCATGCTTAGTATATTGATAATTACTAAATGAAACTTGAATTATGGAGAATGAAGGAGTACAATGAAGGTGCAACGAAAATCACATCTGCGAAGCAAAGAAGTGCCATTCATGATAAAATGGAAAGGTTGCTTTTAGTTCGGATAAATGAACGGAAAATGAAACGAGATGTAACTAGTATGCCTATCATTCAAGAGAAGGCTAGAGAAATTTTTGAGAAATTGAAAGAACAAACTCCAGGTTCGTCATCCGAGGAGTTAGAATTCAAGGCTACCACTGGCTGGTTTACAAAGTTTAAAAGAAGGTCTGGAATTAAACATGTATTAATGCATGGTGAGTCTGCTAGTGCAGATAAAGAAGCAGCTGAGAAGTACTGTCTCAAATTTCAAGAATTCATTGAAACAAAAGGGTATCGTCCACAACAAATATTTAATTGTGATGAAACTGGTTTGTTTTGGAAGCGCATGCCGAACCGTACCTACATCACGAAAGATGAGAAAAGTGTTCCTGGGCATAAACCTATGAAAGACCAATTGACGTTACTTTTGGGAGCTAACGCTAGTGGTGATATGAAGTTAAACCACTTCTCGTTTAGCACTCTGAGAATCCCAGAGCATTCAAAAAAATTCCATAACTAAGAGCAAACTGACAGTAATGTGGGGATCGAATCAGAGGGCATGGGTCACACAGTATCTTTTCAAGGAATGGCTAGTTTGTGCCCCTAGCATCAGGGACTACCTTGATACCAATGACTTGCCGTTGAAAGCACTGCTGCTATTGGACAATGCACCAGGACATCCAAAGGATCTTGAAGATAATTTGTTGACAGACTTTCCCTGGCTGACAGTTCAGTTTTTACCTCCGAATACGACTTCTCTGATTCAGCCGATGGATCAGGAGGTTATTGCGGCTTTCACGAAATTGTACACTCGCGCGCTGTTTCGTCGGTGTTTTGAAGCAAACCAATTCTCCTCAACAATGACTTTAAAAAAGTTTTGGAAAAAAAAATTTGACATTCTTGAAGCTATTCGTTTTATTCGAAAGACGTGGTCAGAAGTCACACAGCGACAGTTGATTTCTACTTGGCGGAAGCTGTGTCCATCCTTCGTTCGAGGAGACAGAGGTGATCAGAGAAACACCCCTGAAATTATGGATAAAATTTTGACAACTGCTAGAGATCTGGAAGTGGAGGTGAACGAGGATGACATAGAAGAACTCATAATGGGACATGAAGATGAACTGACGACAGAAGAACTCCAAGAAATTTTGAATGAAGAACATTATGAAACACAGCGAAATGTGTCTCCTTCTGAACAAGAGGAAGACAAAAGAGGACCAATGCCGACATCTGCCATTAAAGATCTTTCGAAAAAGTGGGAGGATGTCAGAGCAATGGTCTTAGAATGGCATCCAAACCAAGCTGATGTCAGTAGGGTTGGGGATCTTTACAACGACAATGCTATTAATTACTTCCGGAAAATCCTGAAAAAGAGAGAAAATCTATCGACATTGGACATGTTCTTCAATGCCCCATAAGCAAAAAATGAAAAGGACTGATTAATATGCAAGACTATATGTATATATATTATTTTTAAAAAAACTTACAAAGAAATCATAAATTTTTTAAAATTTAATTTTTAGGGTCTCCAGAACGAATTAAACGATTTCACATAGAAGTCTATGGTGAATCGATGATCGGTTAACGAACAATTCGGATAGCGAACATAGTCTTGGAACGGATTATGTTCGTTAACCGATCACCCACTGTATTTAATAATTTCTCCTTTTCGCCTAAGTAAAAATCATAGATAAAAGGATTTCAATTTAAACTTCTTTTTTTTTTTAGATTTCTTTTTTTAAGGGTAGATTACATTAGTATAATTGAACTGCTCTTGAAACTTATAGGTTTTGATGAATACACATATTTTTGAATTTGATTAAATATTGTAAGAAACATTACTTTAAATAGCTAGATGAAAATAAATACCAAAAATGCTTATTAAAAAAACAATTTTTGAATTTTATTCATTTCTCTCTGTAATAAATATTTTTAAACATATTTTCTAAAAAATCAAAGAATGGTAGTTACTAGAAGCAAAATTTTATTGTCTAGCTTCTGTAACTATTTAAGTTAAGGAAAAGTATAAAAATGGTTTACTTGCAGAATTTTTAAGCAACCAAATCACAATTCACTTTAAGATTGCTAAAACTGCCAATTATGTAAGAAAAATATGCATCACACAAAAATATCATTTGAAGTGTTTTTAATTAAGGGAATAAGTGCGCCAATTCCAGACATTGTCACAAATTCTAAAATTATCTACAGAACTTGTCATTTCTTTTAAGTATTTTAATGATTTTGAATTAACTGGTTTTAGAATAATAATTATTTAGAAGCTTTTTTTTACTTAAATGTAAACAATTCACACTTTTTTGAACACAAAAATAAGAGAGGCTTAAAAAAGATATAACAACAGGAAAAAGGTTTTACTCATGAAGATTCAATTTTTCATATGATGACAGAAATTTTACGTTAGCAGAATTAATTTTTTCTACATAGAGCAAATAAGAGGAATAAATACATAGAGCAAGTAAGAGGAATTTCAGCATAAACTTTTTGTCCTCTTTTGAAAAGTCTTATAAAAATACTTTTACAGTAAATTACATTATGACTCATTAACCTCTTTACATATATCCATAAATTCTCAATATTATGTGAATGTAGTACTGCATTATAATTTATATTTCTGTTTGATGAACTGACACATTTTATAAGTATCAAGTTCTTCAGGCAAATTTGTACAAAAATTTTCCAAAGGTTTAATTTATTTGTTTGAGTAAGAAAAAAAGGGAAAATATTAATGGATGTAAGAGATTAAAAAAATCATATAAAGTCATTTTGTTAGTGTTAGTTTTCAAATATGCAAGCCTTGCAATCATTCTTTGTATGCATAATATTTCATGGATAGCATTTTACAGTTTTAAGAATACAGCATAAATCCTCAGAACAAAAGCATTAAAAATATTCTCACTTGGGGCACCATCTTCTCCATCGAATCTTGCTTTTGGTTGAAACAGTTGCCGAAAATGTGGTTTGCAATATATGTCACCTTCATTTGATGAATAAGAATCCACACTAAAATGAACAAATATTCATTATTTAAATTTGAAAAAAATATTTACCATAGAACTAAACAGAAGAATCCATTTTAAAAGTATATATTCTAAGCAATAGGGAGTTATATACTAAAAACTTTTTTGAAAAAGTTTTCCATGATATATTTAGTTATATAATAAGGTTTATATATATATATANAGTCAGAGAATTTTTGAAGAAAGAAAATATAACGTAATGGCAATTAAAGTTGAATATATAGAAGTTAAAAACACTATAAGGCTAGAGTTAGTGCAAGGTTAACAGTTTTAAACATATAAAACAAATCTTGCATAAACAACTACTATAATAACAAACTGTTGTGGTTTAAAGTTACTGAAAACTAATTACATTCAAGTGCATAAACAACACCAATTGTAAATTATGAACGCAAAATTAATATCACAAATCAGAAAGCTTACTTAAGAAGTTTATTACATTCCTTGCAGCGAAAGCAATTCTTGTGAAATATATTGCGTTCAGCTTTCATTTTTTCCATTTGATAGACATGTTTTCCACATATTTTGCAAAGGCAAAGTTCATCTTGAGGAGTCTAAAAAATAAATAAATGATTAACAATCAGGTAAAGGAAAATATACTTTAGTTAAAATTATTTATTTAATTTTTTTGATAATTTTAATAAACTAAAACATAATGTGTTTTTAAAGTTTTAAATAATTAGTTAATAATTATTACATACATAATTTTAAACTTAAGAACTTGTATAATTAATTATGTCATTAGTTCTTAGTTTGTTTTATAAAATAAATTTTCTCTTTTTATGACAATTAGCTATTACAAAAGAAATTGGCACACATTGAGGAAAGTTAGTTTATATAAACCAAAATAGGCAAATTAATTACTATACATTTATTGAAAATATGCAATCTTAAAAAATTAGTTAAAAATAGAATCAAATAAAAATAATCAGGTTATTATATGACATCTTAAATATGATGCCATGCATATTACATACACTAAACAGAGATTACCTAAGTTTAGGACACAGTAGGTAGTTTTCAAATTTTTTAGTAATTGGGGAGCTACTAGTTCTAAATTAGCAGACTTTTCACTAGTCAAATATTTAACACATATAATTTCATTAATAATAGATTTTGAATTATAAAACTTGTTTATATATGTAGCATTATTTAATAAAAATAAAATGATTAGAATTATAATAAATTAATTTTTGAATATTATGTGGTGCAATTAAAGAACAATTGGATAAAACATTTAGATTGGTAAAAAACTGATATTTAGGAGCTATTTTTGTTAATCAGGTTATTTTCTAAGTGAAAAATAAATGCTAAAAAAGTTAAGAAAACAATACCTGACTGAAAGTGCGCTGCACTTTTACCCTATCAACAGATGATTTTACCTCTTCTGGCTGATTATTCTGCTGCAATTCTTCAGTACTCTTAGTAAAACTTGATTTCTGTAAATATCGGTACAAATTTCAACTATACATTAATTAATTTGAGTTTTGAAAATCTTACAAAATAACCTTTATTAAAGATAGACCATTTTAAGTATACCCATTTGTAATGAGCTAACAATATCAATTTCCTTATCAAATCACAAACATATACCACAAATTACAACACATACCCACTGTTTAAATGATAGTACAAAACTAAAATTTTTTCAGTTCAAACAAAAACTATTTTGTAGTACTTTTTGTAAAGCTTGATTTAATACAATTAGAACTAATTTTGAAAATACTAGTAGTACTAAATAAAGCTTTACTAAAATACAATCAAATCAAGTTTCTGTACAAATTTTTATTTGGTTAAAGACTATTTGTACTAATTTTGTCACAAAATTAATACTAACAGAATTTAAACAAGCATGCATTACATTTTCAGATAAACACATAAATTTATAATATTTATTAAGAAATAAAGATTGCAATAAAAGTTACTAGAGCTTTAAATTTAATATATAATAATAACTCAGAATTTCAATAGGTCATAGTAAAATTATACAGAGAAAACTATTAAAAAGAAAACGTGCAACTTAATAGAATACAAATATTTATGCATAATTGGAATGATTCCCGCCACCTCACTGACAACGAATTGTTCTTACCAACATTTTCACAGAAATGCCAGTTTCTATATGGGGTGGACCTTTATACTTGATTTCTCCTTTTTCCAAAATGAAGTAGGATTTCTATATGCAATAAATAACTATATCTAAAACGTAGTATTTTACCTGACAATAATAAAGTAATATGAAGAAAAAAACATGTCTATGGCAACTATTAAAAAAAGTAAATGAAATGTTTGTGACAAAGAAATATATTTAAAATTTGCATTTTACAATATTATTTTAGATATAATATATCACTGTAAGAATCTTCAGAAAATGGCATTGCATTGTTTTTTTCAATGAAAGACTTGCTAGTTTCATAAGCAAATAAAAATTAGGTACATTTAAAGTTGAAAATCTGTTTAATAAAATGAAAATTTGATCTGAACCATTTGTTGCAGAACTTATAACTGTTTAGCCAGATATTCGGGCATGATAAACTGGCTTTTATTTGCTAGTTAGAAAAAACAGAGAAATAATTCAGTTGATCAAATACAGAGAAATAATCATTTGTGCATATTTTGTAATATTTCACTGTTACTAAGAAATATACAAAAAAAAAAAAAAAAAANAAAAAAAAAAAAAAAAAAAAAAAAAAAAAAAAAAAAAAAATAAATAAAAAATAACAGTCTTCAACTACAAAATTTTCAATTATATTTTAATTATTTAATTTTCCTCAAATTAACTTCTTGAGAGACATATTTAAAGGAAATCAATTCTCACAAAATGTGCGTACATAAATAAAGGCATTCATATATACAGTAAATTAAAAGAAACTTTTCCTTATTTGTGACTCATATAATGAATGCACTGTAAATGAATAGACAAAAATTGGAGTAGTAAGTACAATTTGCTTTTCATAGAAATATGTTGTATGATGAACATTAAGTTAGTGACAAAATTTTTAACATAAAGTTAGTGACAAACCTTCAGAAAACATAAACACCTCTTAATTAAAACAATTATCAATATGACTTCATCTGTATTTATTTATTTAAAAATCTTGATATTACAGGGTTGCCACTCAAATCTGGAAAAAAAATCCCCTGTGTTTTTCCTGTACATTTTATACACACAATTTATATTAAGAGGAAACAACAATTACTGTGCTCTTGTGTGAGCTATATTGGGCTAACTATATTTATTAGTTTAAATTGCTGGAAAAACAGCTGAACATGCTTAAATAATGCTATAGTAAATGAAATAGTTTAGTAATGAAACAGTTAATAGCCGAAATGTCATGGTTAAATATCCTATAAATCACGCCTTGAGTGGTCACCATTTTTTAAAAGACAAAAATAAGAAACAAAATTCCCTGTATTTTCCCAGTTTGTAAAGAAAAAATCAAAACTCCCTGCATTTTCCCTGTTATTTTTGGTGATTTTTAAATTCCCTGCATTTTCCCTGTGGAGTGGCAACCCTGTATTATGTTTAAATATGTCTTAGATTTAGAGAAGAGAGACACTTGCTTTAGTTATTCAAATAATTAAAAATTCTGTAAAATATATAAAATAAAACTTATGACTAAAATATCCATTAATGTATCCAATATTGTTAGCTCAGTACTTAAGGGTTTGTAATATCAATGAAAAATTAGTGTTTAATCTGACGTTATAAAATAGTGCTGAGCTTATATGTACCAAAAATCATATCTAAGAGCGCATTTTTTGTGAGAAGTGCAATACTGTTAAAGAAATAACTTAAAAGTTATAGTTAGTTTCATGCCGTAGGATTGTTAGATAATAGAAGATATTGTTAGTTGTGCATTTATGATTTTGTATGAAATATATTAGGAACTTACAAGAGCTCTGACATCTATTCCAGTGCTAATCATTTCTCTATCGGGAGAAATACCTCTACGGTTTCCTCCATTTTGAGCATAGTTTGATTTCTAGTTTTCATCAAACACAAGAAAAACATGCAAAATGAATGAGGAGAAACAAGTTAGTAAAGAGATACATACAAGTTAGTCATAAACTCAAAATGATGCACAATTCAAACATTCACAATTATACTTGATAAACAAAAACAAATTCATTGGAATAGTGTTTTTATAAGCTCGTTTATTGCAGAAATAGAAATTAATGGAAAGAGTTTCAAGCTTTTTGAAGCTCACAGCAGTGAAACACATGCATACTTGAAGTAAGTGCTATTCTTTCTATTTTTTTTTAAAAAAATATTTCCTGTTGTTTCTATGCTTTCTATTTTAAAAAACCAATAGAATTTCTCACAATGAGTATAATTTTCATAAAAATCTGTTTACCAATAGAGTAAATGCAAAATTTATAGAAGCATCCTCATCTTTCACAGAATTTCAATGAAGTTATAAAAAAATGTAATTTAATTCTACATGAAAGAACAAAAAACCTTTGCTGGTTAAGAAGAAAATATTTAAGAATGTAAAAAAAAATAATATTTTTTCAAAAAGTATTACTAGATAAGGACAAGATAATCAGGACTAGTTAAGGAATCCTTTGAAACTTCCAGACTATGAAAAAATACTTTTTAGATGTAGAGAACTAAGAGTGCTATTGTGATGAGATGTTTAAAAGAAAATAATGTGATTGTTTAGAATGATTTTTAATGTTTTTAAACCAAATTTAAGGACAAAACGGTCTACATACAATTTTGAGAGTATACAGAGTATCAGGGAGAATAATTTTTGCAGAATTACATTCCCTCATAGAAAAATTTTTTTTACTTAACAGAATTAATTTTTTTCAGAAAACATTTATTTAATAATTTTTAAAAATATCAAAAAGCTAATTTGAGATTTTATTGGCAAATTTAACTAAAACAATCTTTCGTTGTCCATATTTAAGTGTGAATCATAGATATAGACATACTAAATCTTTTTTTATGTTACATAATGGTTTGTTAAATTAGCATTTTCTTTTTAATTATAGCATTTGGTCACTTTGAATACTTTATGCATTAAATTTTTAGTGGTCCACATTCCTAATTTTTTTCAAAACAAATTTTCCTTCCTTAAGAACACTCTTTGGGAGCAACACTGTGCCAAATAATGATAATAAATAATAATCCCAAGCAATGACAAAAGAAAGAAAACTATTTCAACTGTTTTTAAAACCCAATAAGAATTATAGCTAAAAGAATTTTTTTTTCTATTAAAGTTTTTGAGTCTGCTCTTTATCAAGTGACAAGATTCATAAAGTGCTCTTTGTCATTTACCAATTTTTGTAATTCAATAAAAAACTAAATTTTAATTCATAAACTGAATTCATTTAGCTTTCATTTTATTGCTTTACTGCAATAAATGAAAAATTAATGATTTGGAGTAATTTTTAAAGTAAAACATGACTTTAAAAACTTATTTTAAAATACCAAGTCAAAATAAAAAATATTAAAAACACCCAAATTAGCTGTATTTTACAACAAATTTATGTTTTTAATGTTTATGCTTCAAAAAAAATTAGTTTTATTAAAAAAAACTGACAGATTAACAAGATATTATGAATAACAAACTAAACTGCAGATAATATGAATAACTCACCAAAGATTTTATATCAATGCCAGTAGAGATTATTTCTTTAGATGGCTGATTTTCTTGAGCAGTTAAAGAGACGTATGCTGACATCTGCATGCAAATTACAAACACAAATTCATGCTTAACATGCACAGTGCAGTTAGTACAAATATTTAAGAAGAAATAACTTTCATACAAAAACTATAATATTTACAGTATTATGTTAAGTTTTTTATGTCTTGAGAACTTCTTTAGATGTTTATTAAAATAGCTTAGTTAAATAAGTAGTTCATTACAAAAGGGAACAAAAGAATTTAACATATCCACTGGCATCTATTTATTATAAACCCAATGTTTCTATATAAAATACTCAGAAATTTGTAGAATTTCTAAAGAAAATGAAAAACAACTATTTTAAATAATACATAAAAATTGAGATAGAAAAGAAATTTTTAAGAAAAGTTGCTTAGCTGAAATTGGAATGCAATGATTTTGTTCTGTAAGAGAACAAACAACAAACTCACAAAGAATTCATGGGGTTTCGTATTTCTTATATAAATTATAATTCTTTCACACTATGCTTAGTTACGAAACAAGTATGCTCTGTGTAACTAAGAATATTAGCTTATTTTGTATGTTCAAAAGAAACTTGAAATAGAACTGCAAAAAGAAAAAAAATAATAATAATACTTCCACTGGTACATGTGTATCACTAAATGCAGTAAATTATTCATCCAATGTTTCAATATAAAATATTCAGAAATAATATAGAATTTCTAATGAAAAAGAAAAACACAACTGTTTTAAGCAATACATAAAAATAGAGATAGGTGATAAGTCCAATTAGAGAAAAAAAAGCTTAACAGAAATTGGAATACAATGAATTTTTTCTATAAGAGAACAACAAATTCACAAGTAAATCATGGGGTTTCATATTTCCTATAGAAGTAATAATTCTTTGAATAATAATATGCTTAATTACAGAACAAGCTTGTTTTGTGTAACTTAGAGTACTCACTTGTCATGTATGTTTAGAAGTAACTCAAAATATGAGGCAGACAGGTAGCTACTTTCACTTAAATTATAAATGTTTTTTAAGAATTTTTAATTACAAATTAAATCATTCAAATTTTGAAGAACTTGAATACACAACAACACTATAAAACAATGTACCTAAAATAGCATTTGAATGCTTAATGATAGTCACTTATTGATAAAAGAAAAATTTAAAATAGATAACAAAATGAAATGAAAAATCATTTATATATCTTTAAAATCTGGAAGATGTATTTACCAAATCAGTTACGGAAGCAAGACCGTCAAAAGGTTTTTCTTCCTTAGTAAGTTCAGCATTCTTGCTATTCTATAAGTAAGAAAATATGAAGTTCATTATATATACAATCATTTATTTGCATTACAAGCATAATTACATCTACACACGGTATAGAAAATTAAAGATAAAGGCTTAGTAATGATGGCATATATACACTACTGAATAGGAAATTTTTATACACGAAGCATTTAACGAAAAAAGTAACATGTAGAAAAATGTATAAGGAATTAAATAAAATTAGAATAAAAAAGAATAAGGAAAATAAATTTTAAGTTTTTAAATTAGAATCTGTATCAAAATGATTTAATAATTTTTTTAAAGGTTTAATCCTAATCAATAATTTTTATGGGGCTCACAACAGAATTTGACAGTCAATGAGATGAAGCCAGAAGAGGAAGAACTTAAAACACTTAAATTAATAGGTTGCTGTCCAATCAGGAGGCAATACAACAACAAAGGCTGTTGTAGAATTAATTTATTTCATATTTGTTTCTTATTAAACTATGGCAATAAATTTTTTTTTCAGTAAAAACTTTTAAAAATAGCATTCCTATTAATTCTAATTTAAGTTGGTGACATATCTAAAATATAAAAAACTTCTCAAAGGGTTTCAAAAGAATCTTTTGTCAGAATTCCCAATATTTAGGCTAAAAATTTTGTAAACAAATTAGTATATATTTAGAAAAAAAAACATTCTTGCTATAATATTTTACAAGTACATAAAAACTATCTGAATGAAGTATAGTAATGGCACAGTTTGCTATTAGACAATAGAACGAAAATATTTAAAAACAAAGAAACTTAAAACTTATTTTGAAATTTTTAAAAACCATAAGTCAAAAAAACTCGGTTGACTAGATTTAACAGAGATAAAAGAAGAGAAAAAGAAAAGAACGAACTTAACTTGCTAGGTATTCTCAACAATGCTGGTCATTGTTTTTAAGTAAATTTATAACACATGAAACAATGTTAAAAATAAATAATTTTTGTTTGTACACAAAGAAATTTGTGTTAAACTGCAGCTGTGTTTTACCATTGAAAACTAAAGTATTAAAATGAAAGAAGTTGGGAACAAAAGGAAGTGATAACTGTCAAAAAGAGAATAGTTTAGACTCAAGTACATTTTTTGACAATTTTTTAGCACATTAAGAGGCAGTTTTTTAAGGCAGGAATCAATTTTGTTGCTTACACTAATTGTATAAACTTTTGAATAAATTATACAAAGAATTTCCTCCTCCACATTTTGTTTTATTTTTTACTAAATATTGTTTTAGGTATCTGTAGCAATCATATACTTTAAGAGCAAAATATGCTTTCACCACAAGAATTCAGGAGGAATGTTAAATGCAGGGTGTCTGCTACATTTTAGATTTTCAAATTCATGACTAATTCCAAGAATTTTTCATGACTTAACGAAGTTACTATTTTCTCGAACAAAAACACAACAATAAATTTAAAAAAGCATGATAATACCATTAATTGAAATGATAGGTATAACCAAAACTGTTATACTCTGCATCTTCATATTAATAGATTTTAAATTTAAAAAACAGTGTAAAGAAAGAGTTGAAGCAATAAAATATCTGAAAAAAATACAAAAGCAAATAATTTTTTCTTCAGAATTATATTCTAGAGATACTTTTCTTGTTCATCAGAAAGAAAAGAAATATTCATGATCATTCTGTTCTCATTTCGGAATAAAAAAAAAAATTCCCCAATGACTGGCTTACTGCAGCTAGAATTGATAAAATAAAAATAATAATAACAAAAATTCTGAAATCACAGAAGTTTAAAAGATAATTCGCTCTAGAAATGTTTTTTCTTTCAATTTTTGAAAGAACACCATAATTTTTAAAGAACAAGATAAAATATTTTATATTTTAATAGAATATCACTGTGAGTGGGGATTTTGTTACAAATTCAGATATTCCGAACACCAAGAAATTGGAGGGGGAAAGGGGAAATTCCGTTTTAAAAATTAGATTTTTTGGCAACCTAAATCCATGACTTTCCATGATTTTTTTTTTAAAAAATAGTTAAAATCATAACAAATTTTGTTCAACACTGAAATTCATGACTTTCCAGGTGCGCAGATACCCTGTAAATAAATAACTATGTAAAAAGTTAATCAAAATAGTTAAAAATATACTTACTTTTAGACTGACAGTATCTATTCCATTATGAGATGAATAACCATTTGTTTCAGTCTTGACAGTTGCTTTTTTGGTAGTTATTTCTTTCTTTTGATTTTCCTTTTCAACTTTAGAAGATATTGAATTTGAAGTTGTTTTAACTTCTTCTTTATAGTTGTTTGTTATGGATGATTTATAGGATGATCTTTTTTCACTTCGATCACTTTTTATAGATTGAGATGACGAGTTGGAGCTTGTTCTGCCTCTTTTAGAAAGCTAAAAAATAATAATAAAAGGAATAGGATATAATTTAGTTGAAGAATATACTGTACATAAAAACTAAGAAATTAATTATCAAGGAAAGTTTTAAATTTAATTAACAGTACAAAATTCAAAAGAACTAGTAGAATAAATGAAAAAATTGAAGACTAAAATAAATGAATAAATAATAATAAAATTAAAAACGTTATAAGAAACAATGTAATTTTATTTAAACATATAATACTCTAACTTAACAAAATCCTTTTTTATTATTATTTAATATGTAAATTTTGAAAGAATAAACAGAAGACTAAAATTCATTAACCTCTAAAATCAGCCATGATATTAGAATATAAACAAGCAACTGCCAATTGCAGTTAAAAAAAAGTTTTTTTAACTTATTTTTAAACATAATTTTATTTTTAAATCAATAAAAATTAAAAACGTTATAAGAAACTCTCAATTTTTTTAAAAAATATAATACTCTATCTTAACAAAATCCTTTTTTATTATTATTTAATATGTAAATTTTGAGAGAATAAGCAGTAGACTGAAATTCGTTTTCATCTAAAATCAGAAGTGATATTAGAATATAAACAAGCAACTGCCAATTGCAGTGAAAAAAAGTTTTTTTTAACTTATTTTTTAACAATTTTATTTTTAAATTAATATAAATTACCATATTTTATGATATTTTACTTGATTGGAAAGGCAAGAGGTACACAATGGGTTTAATTTAAAACTTAATTATGACCTGCTTCAAGAATTTTAATTTGACCACATTGCAAAGCAGGTGATTTTTTATTCCCTCCTATCCACTCAATATTCATAATTCCTTTTGTTGTTTTATTATTTAACTGGAAAGTAAGAGAGTTCATAGAGTAATGAGTGTAGAAATGTTTAAATATACTCAAATAAATTCACTTCATACTTATTTTATTCAAATGAAGATTTCATTTCATTAATTTTCTTAGTAATTTTTTTGATGCATATAAATTATTTTTTTATAACATTATAACTGAGGACTAACAAACAAACACAGTTCTTATTAACTAGCATTGATAGTTCATTTTGCCATAGTTTTACTTCTTACTTATTTTAAATATATTAGTGGGGGAGGGGGCTCAGCTCCCGAAGTTAATTACGAAATACATACATGCCTATTTATGCCGTCAAGATGCTTTTTCCCATATTGTGCTAAATATTACTTACACTAAGTTGAATAAAAAAAAGTTAAGAAAGTCAATAAAGAAAAAAAAAATTTACTTTCTATTTTTAAAGCATTAAGAAATTAATCCCGGTAACTTAAAACCGGTATATTTTTAAACGAATATTGCTGATACTTTAATTTATATTTTCAAAACTACTATCACGATTTATGTTTTTCGTTAATATTAAAGCAACCAATGATCTAAGGTGAAAGGACGTTAGAGAAGATGTGTCCAACTGCATCACTGCAAGTATATATCTATTCAATATAAAATAATCGAATACGAATAATCAAATTGAAATCGATTAGAATAATCGAATCGAATAATAAAAAATTATATTGGCGATGTGAACATGCCGACAACTTGCGCTGTTGGCGGAGTTAACGTGTCGGCAATAAGAACACGACCAGTTTAAACATATTTTTTCGTTATCAAGTGATTTTCTTTTATCCCATATAGTTTGTAAATATGGAAAAAGTAAACAAAAGAGTAATCCAGAAAGTAATAAATACGACTATTGAGGATCAAGGGTAAATTCTAAGCTTTGGCGCGAAACCACTCAAAAATATTGGAAAGCTATCTTGTTGCGAATTGAATTACGTTTTTTATAGGGTTATTTTTTTTTAATGACTTTATAATAATAAATCTGATCTGATTATTTGTTGTTGTTGTTTATTTTGCTTTGGTTGCGGTGAGATAAAAATGTAAGTTCTTCGGAACATTTCCGAATATGAATATCTTGCCTTCTGAAAATATCTAGTAGATTTAAAAATTACACAACTATTTTGATAATGAAAATAGAGGAAAATTGCAAAATTTAAAAACAAGGGCAATTCTCTTTTATTAAACAATAAACGAGTTCCCTGTGGCAGAATCGCGGAGACATGGCGACATAGTCGCAGAACTTTACAGAATTCTTGCAGAAAGATTTTTATTTTGGGAAGAATATTAGGTTATCTTTTCTGCAGAAATTTACACGTAAATTTTGAACTTTTTGTTCCGTTCAATTATGCCAATAGTATCGTAAATCCATGTAGTGTTTCGATTGTATTTTCGGCGGTTATTGATTTTCACATGGCTTTTAATTATCCTAATATATTGCAGACGATATGGGAAATTCGAATCGTGCATTCGAGTATTTACTTTTTAAGGCAGCGATTCTATCGCTTTTTTTCTTTTTTATGGCAATGATTGCTTTTGATTTCCATATAATTCTTAAAATCCGACATTATTTATTACAACAATCAAATCCTGAAATGAAACAAGCATTTGAGTAACCCCTTTTTTTAAGAGTCGCATGATTTCGTCGTTGATCTGTTTTTTGGTAATTATTGCTACGGATTTCAGGAGTTTTAATTATTTTTTTAAAGTGATGACGATTTACAAAATGCAATATATGAAAAAATTAGCGCGTTTTTCTCCGCAACAAAATGCGAGAATATCGTCCATAATATTAGAATAAAAAAATATTACATATTCAATGAAAATAATTGCATTTTTTTCTTTTTTTGTATGCTGGTTCACTATTTCATTTTTTTACTCTAAATTAGTAACATACATCTTTGTTATTATTGAAAGTACCTCGCAGAAAGATATTAGTGCTAAAGAGTTTTGTTGCAGAAAGATTCTGCCACTGGGGAACGAGTTAACAATAGGCTTTTTTACTATTTGAAAATACCCTATTATTGCATTGTTTGAGCTCATAAAAAAAGGTGAAAATTGAAAAACATTCCTTAGTATTGTTTCCAAGTAGGCATTCTACAAGTTTCCATAATTTCTACTTAGATAACAGCACAATATACGGAAACATTATTGAATAAATGGTAATCGAGGTGTTTTTTCCCCAAAACGCTTTCCTAAACAATCTGATATATAGTGAGGCTTATCATTAATTATACTGACAATAGTCTTTCAATTTTATCTTCACAGACAAATTTTTTAATTTATAAAATACAGAAACGATATTGGTCAAGGAATTTGAAGAATTTTAAATAAATTAATTAACTAATGTATACACATTGTTAAAAGAAAAAAATGACTTAATAAAAATTCAAAAAATTTTTTAATCTAATTTCTTTTTTCTTCTTCTTTTTTCTTGTAAGCCAGTTAGAAGAGATCGAAAAGGGTTGAGTAATTTAAAGTAATTTTCCACTTCATCTCTTTTTTTGAAGTTAAAAATAGTTTTTTTGATTTTATTTTATTGTTTTTTTTTTTTGTTGGGGAGGTGAGCAATGGACATTTTCTAATTAGATATTATTTTTCCTTTTATCATCCAAAAACTTTGCAGAAACCATAAATTTTTAGATATACCTAACAGCATGTACGAGTTGCGGTGGCTATTGGGATGGAGCGATCGCCTCTCAATGAGGTAACCCGGGTTCGAATACCAGTGACGACTGCTCGATACGAATTCCGCACCCAGCTCGCACTGAACAAAGTGTTGACGTAAAATATCCTCAGTGGTAAACGGATCATGAGTTGTAGTCCCCTTGCCGTCGGGCTAACTGTGGGAGGTTTTCGTGGTTTTTCTCTCCATGTAACGCAAATATGGGTTAATTCCATCAAAAAGTCCTGCATGATGGCAAATTTTTCCCAATATTTGATCCCTTGTCATCTGAACTCGTTTCGAAATTGCCTCTAAGAGTGAGCCCAAACTTGTTGCTAAGTGTGAGATTGTAGCCTTCATTATTTTGGCAAGAACTTATTGCCCATGATTCCAGAATTAATTGCTCCCAAAAACTAATAGTTTGGACTCAGACCCTCTAAGAGTGAACTCAAACTCTTTGCAAACAGTTGATGAGATAATAGTTTTCTTAATTTTCCCACGAACTAATTGTTCATGACTAAAAAAATGTTTTAAATACTTAATTTTTTTTTTCGCTAGTGTAAAATTTTTTAAATTCAAGCAAAAAACTAAACTATATATATACAGACAAAAGCAACTGCATATATGTGAAATATTACCGACAAAAAAATATATATACGATATATATATTTTTAAGTGTGGTCACTCTCCAGATAAAACCAAATTTCCTGAGATTTCCAGATTAATATTTAAAAAATTTGAAATTTTCGTGTTTTCGAAAGTAATTCAATCATTTTTATACATTTATGCATACAAAGAATTAATATGCATTGCATTTAAGAGAAATTTTGTGTTCATTAAAAGGGTTCACTATTTCATGCATTAAAGTTTTGCAATCCTACAAAAAAAAATATTAATAAATAAATCAAAGTAATTTATAATTCCTACTTAATAAATTCATAATTAACTTAATTACAAATCATTTCATTCTCAATTGAAATTTTTCATTATTTCAAAATTAAAATTTTTGCTATTTTACAAAATAAAAATAAAAAAATCAATAAATAAATCAAATAAATTTTATAACCATCTTTGAACAGCTGATCCAATTTTCGGGTTTACGACTACTAATGTTCAACTCCATAGCCTTGTAATTTTAAACACAATACAGAAAACAAGAGAACTCCTGGATTAAATATTGAGCGAAATTTGCCTCCGTGGAGGACTTTTTTTGATGGAACTAACCCGCATTTGCGTTACATGGAGAGGAAGACCACGCGAACCTCCCATGGTTAGCCTGATGGCAAGGGGACTCTAACCCACGATCCGTCTACCACTGAGGATATTTCACGTCAGCATTGTGGTCGGTGCAAGCCGGATGCGGAATTCGTATCGACCAGCCATCGCCGGGATCGAATCCAGGTTAACCTCATTGGAAGGCGAACGCTCAATAAATGTATCATTTCTAAATTTATTATAAACTATTATTACAAGTTTCATATATATATCAATCTATTTTCAAAAATAGAAAGTTCAGTACTCAAATATTTAAAGAAGTTTTTCAATTAAATACCAAAAATGCTTGTTAAACAGGAAGTTAAAAGAACAAAAATCATAAAATGGAATTTTCCATTAAATAGAACTGAATTTTTATTAAAATAGCAATAATGACAAGAGAGTAAATGATCATACCACGAAATAAGTTTTTAAAAATTATCTCAACAGCTAACAGTTTTAACGTGCACTAATAATATATTTCAATTTTTTTACGTATAACAACAGAAATTTCATTTAATCATTGGTACAATACTGCCCGCAGCTTACATTTTATTTAAAAACTGGCGTTGAGCAGCTGACCTATTTTTTGGGTTTACGACTCAATTCCATAGATTTGTAATTTTAAACTCAACCCAAAATACAAGAGAACTCCTTATTTTTTGGTTGAACACCAGTCGGTAAAAAAGATTATGTTGAATAATAAAAACTTTTGTTGTTGGTAAACAAAGAGGATCTATAGAGTGTTCCATAATTACTGCACTTAATATATATATTTTTATAATCCCATTTAAAAATGAAATTAAAAAAAAATACACACACTAGGGCTTACAAGCTAAAGTTTAAGCGAGAAGAAAAATAAAAACGTTATCAAAATTTGACAAATGATCAATGAAGAAAGTAAGATTGAAAATACAGAAAAAAATTTGATTAATTGCCAAAGGAAACCAAAGGAAGGTGAAAGACGATTATTCGAAACATTTTGAAGTTTTATCCAACAATGAAACTGATTTTCATGCTTTTAATCCCACTTTCCAACAATAATTCGTTAGATATTGAAAACGTTTTTGTTTTCTCCTCAAATAATACTTTGCAACCCCTAATGTGCATGCATTTCTTTCTTCTTTTTGTTAAAGATTCTAAAAATTTAAAATAGGGCGGTGTATATGAAACATTCCATACAAATCGCCCAAATTGTGAGAACATAATCGAGAGCTTAAAGCACGACCACACCCTTACCCAGATCTTAACTTCACATTTATTATTATTAGTTAAAATTTTTTGATTAATTACAATATTAAAGAAATTTCTCTTAAAGAAAAAAAAATTCGTGAGGTCTATAACTGACATATTAAGTGCACATAAATATGAATTGTTGATAATAAATATGAATAACATGATCATAATAAAACATTAAATAAAGGAGCTATAAGATTGGAATGATTAAAACAAACAAGGGTATATTAATAATTATAAATGCTACGAATTAATCATTATTGCAAATAAAATTAACAACCAATCAAATATTAGTAACTACAATTAGTAACAGAATAAAGCAAAAATTAAGCAGTTAGAGGTTATAACAAACTTACATCATCCTCAGAAATTTGTAATTGCTCATGCTGGGAACTAAGGTCATGCTTGTTATCATCAAAAATTTTTTCACTTATTGGGGAAACGCAAGTATCTTCACTCTGGGTTTGTTCTAATTCTGTTGTTAAATCATTTTCATCGGTTATTTCAGATTTAGAACTGGCAGCAGCAGACAGTTCTGAGTTAGTACCCAAATCAGCAAGTATTTCAACTGGTTTTTCATCGAGATCAAGTTTATCATTCACAGAACTATCCTCAAGATTAGATTCATCAAGTCTATCCTCGATAAGATCATCATTAAATGAATCGTCCTCCATAAGTCTATCGCTCATTGGGTCCTCCATAAGTTTATCGCTCATTTGGTCCTCCATAAGTCTATCGCTCATTGGGTCCTCCATAAGTCTATCGCTCATTTGGTCCTCCATAAGTTTGTCGCTTATTTGGTCCCCCATCAGTCTATCGCTTACTTGGTCCTCAGTGTGTTTATTATTAACACTATCATCCATAACATCAATCAATGCATCGTCATCGTCTATCCTGTCATTAATGCCACCTCTACTATGATGGCTGTACACACTGTCCTGCAGTCTATCATCTTCATTTTCTGGAAGATTTGGCTGGTTTAAAAGATCATCTTGTACAGTATAACTTGAAAAACCATTAGAATATTGCTGTTGCTCTGTTAAAGGTTCACCTAAAGGTGTTTGACCTAACATTACATTTGGATAATAATCTGTAGGGCTTTCTTCCTTAACAGGGCAAAATGGGTCAAAAAATTCAACAACTTCTGTATTTTGGAATGGGCTTAATGTTTCACCAATATCACGGTTACTATCGGAAGGAGATGTTAGTGGGGAATCTTCTTTAAATTCGAAGCTCATAGGATCGAAATCCAGGGTTATTGGTTCAAGCAAAGTCCTACCAGTTGGAGACTGAGGAGAATTATTACTTACACCTGTACCCTCACTCACATCAACTAAAGTATTTGGCTGTTTAGTAGTCATGGTCTACCTGAAAGATTAAAAACACATTCATTTTTATACACACATAAAGTACATACAGTCGTTAGCCATAATATTAGACAGACTATAAGATTCTATTTAAAATCTTAATTATCAGATGATACTGTACAGCTTTAGTGTTTTTATGCGACTGAAACCGGTTTGCACTTGTTTACGTTCGTGTATCAATTGGTGAAATTAGACGATATGTAATATAAAATTGATGATAGGATAAAATAGACAATATATAATATAAATTTGACGATAGGATAAATTAGACGATATATTACATAAATATAGAATATTTATTATATCAGGTATTATAGTAGTATATTATAATAATTAGACAAAATTATTAAACGCACTGTAGTTTTTTAATATTTACAAGTTTTTCACGAGTTTATACGCAATACTTTTCTATTTAAACATACATATAATGGGTTTTTATTCGGGAGATTTTTTATATACTTATACACTTCCTATTTGTATTTATTTCTAGTATTGCATTACAATGTTAACCAATTGATACAGGAGCGTAATCATATGCAAACCGGTTTCATCCGAGTAAAAAGCTGTATAGTATCACTCGATAATTATAATTTTACATAGAATCTTATAGTGCATCTAATAATATAGCCAGGGACTATAGGATACAAAATATAGATAAGTTGAAATTTAATAGAAAAACGCGGCTCTTAACAAATATCCTCGCTATTTTCCTATGCTCTGGGCTAATTGTGAAAGACTTCAGTATTTTTCAATCTGCCTGATATTTTTAAGTTTATATTCCTATAAAGAAATATGCGAACTGAATTTGCTGAGGTTTATTGTAAAGAGCCATTAATAAGGCCATTTACAATCAGCTTTCACCACTCTGGGATAATTGAAAGCTGCCTGAAATAAATCTTGCTGATAGAGCAACGAAAGGTATGTTTTCTAACTACCATTCCAAGGTAATGGGCTCGCTACAATAGGCCTAAAAGGTATCAGGCTGATTAAAAAACACAGAGGAACATTCCAGATAGCTTGTGACACATTGCAAAATTGCGATTGCTGCATGCAAAGAGAGGAATAATTCAATTTACACAGGACAGATGCATTGAAGTAGGTTTTATAGGAGAAAAAGCTAATGACAAGGTTGTAAAGAATCACCACATAGCCAATAGAGCGAACATTCACTTAATATTTATTGATGTTGAGAATAAAGTGCTTAAGCCATATAGGTTATTGTGTTCTTTTTTCAAATCTGTGACCTTAAGACTGTTATAATAAGTAAAAAAAATGGTCCAGAAACTGAGTTTTAAGCGTTCTGTTCTTAGCATGAATATTTTATTTTGTTGCAAAAATCAGGAAAAGCAAATGAATTGTGAATAAGGTAATTCAACAAAACAAACCGTTTGCAAGATAAGAATATAAGAATTTGGAAGGCATACTTCGCGAAGTCGAGCACTTTACAGTAGAACAGCTTAACGTGGGCCGATAACATACACTCTCGGTCCCTACGCAGGTTGATCAAAGTGGTCACCCATCCACTTACTGACCGCAGCCAGTGATGCTGTCTTTACGATCAGTCCACTACGGGACAAGTAATTCATAAAGAGAATCCGTTTTCATTTTGCCCACTTTATAAGAGTGACATCACAAACAACGTATCGTGGTCTATGTGTTACCGTTAAAGTATATAATGCAGTTATTTCATAGAATACCTAGTTATTCCATGAAATAACTGATCGTGTCCGTTAAAGTGTGTAATATGTTATTAATTTGACACTTTAACTAGTTATTCTATGAAATAACTAGGTATTCTATAAATTAACTAATGAGGGACAGTTAAAGTGTAAAATAAACAATTTATCTAAAATGAAATAACTAGGTATTACATAAATAAACTAATGATAGACTATTGAAATGAAAAAGAAGCAATTTATCTAATTTATGCAGCGTATAGATGGTATTTATGGAAACGTACCATAAAATCATTTGTTACAGCAAGGATTACTAAGATGACACTTGGAATTACAAAGAACATTTCTTTCTAAAACAAAAACATATTTTGCTGACACACTGGGTTTCGCACGAACATTTTTTAAATCCCTGACCAGTACCTAAACTTTGAGCTGTAGCAACCGACCGGGGCGATATTTCTACATCTGGTACTTCTTCGATTTTAATTAATTTTTGTTTACAGACACTGAACTGGTCTCGGGAATATAATTGTTTAATGCGGCCGTTTCTTGAGCCCAATTGGAAAAATCCTTCTTCAGTTATTTTTATGACGATAGCTAAAATAGATAAATGCTGTAGGGGTGGAAGGTAAATGTATTTGTCATGCGAGATATATGATATAGATTATTTTACATAGATTTTGCCTGATCAGGATTGTATGAAAAAAAATTAAATATTGTTCAGCGCATCTATGAGCCTTCAAAAGAAAGAATGTGAAATATAAATAATTTTGGTGAAGTATTATTGTGAGCAACAGACTAAGTTAAAGTTGAAATTGAAGCAAAACGTCTACAGTCTGTGGCCAAATTATTAGACGTACTATAATATTCCATATAAAATCTTAATTATCAGGTAATACTAAACAGCATTATTGTTTTTACGCAAATGAAACCAGTTTGCACTTGCTTACGTTCGTGTATCAATTGGTTAAAATTGTAATGCAATACATTAAAAATAAATACAAATGGGAAGTATATTAAAAATCTCACAAATAAAAACTCATTACGTGTATGTTTAAATAAAAAAGTATGGCATATAAACTCGTTTAAAACAAGTAATTATTAAAACATTACAATGAGTCTAACAATTTGGTCTAATTATTATAATGTACTAATATAACACCTGATCTAATATTCTATATTTATATAATATATCGTCTAATTTACCCAATTTATATTATCTATCGCCTGATTTAATCAATTGATACATGAACGTAAAGAAGTGCAAACCGGTTTCAGTTTAAAGAAACAATAAAGTAGCACAGTATAACTTATTAATTAAGATTTTACATAGAATATTATAGCGCGTCTAATAATTTGGCTTAAAAGATTTCAATTGTTTTTTGTTCAGTTAAATATTAATTTTGACCCCAATGTTTATACTTTTTGTTTTCATTTTCGATAAGAGTTCTAAAAAATATCTATATAATAAGGGCAGTCTTAATGAAACACCCTGGACATGTAAGAAAGAGTGATATAAGATAGAATAATTTTGCGTGCAAAATGCGTTAACCCAGTGACGCAGAATTTATATTAAGCATATTTATATACTTTGTTTCGCCATTTTATAATTTAGATCCAAATAAGTGATATATTGTATTTAGAATTTTAATAATTTATGGTTATGAAATACAGCATGCAACATCGTTGCTTTTTCTGCGATAAAGATAAAATTTTCCTAACACGGCTCACTTCGAAACAATAATTTTTAAATTTGCATTTATTTTCACTTATTTAGATCTAAGAAAAACAGTTATTCATCATTGAAATTTCTTTAATTCCAATTACTTTTTTTTTGGTTTTGGATTTTATATTTTCGTACAAATATTATTCCGATGGCCTAACAGATTTTTTTAAGTAACTATTAAACGGTTTTTCATAACTAAAAAAATATCAACATTTATTTTTGCTAGTAATTAAGAGCTTCAGAAAAGAATATAGCACTGCGTTATAGCACTTTACATTATGCCACTTTCAAGAGGTGGAATTAAAACAAAACAGGCAAATTAGATGATTTTAAATACCTGATAATGCACCAACAACAAAGGTTGGGCAAATAGGAAACAAGCAGGGTTCTTTGATAGGGATCAGACAAATACCTAAAAATAAACGCAATATTAGTAATCTAAAAACAATAACACAAAAACATAAAATTTTTTTTTACATTACAACCTATAAAAAATTATAATGGAAATTGCGTAAATTAATAAAGGATAGTTAGTCCTTTCATCATATGGAATTACACCTGTTAGCGATTATTAAGCAGTAGTTTTTTATAATTGTTACATTTATTAATATCTAGTCATAGCCTGCTATAGGGGTCATTATTATTCATAATTATTAAAAAAAAGTTACAGTTTTTTAAAAATAAGTAAAAAACGCTTTTAGTCTAATTTTAAGTATTTGAACTTTGTGTTCATTAATCGAGAATTATTCTTCAATTTTTATTTAGGTGAAAAGTTGCGATCTTAAATAAGTTTTTATATATTTTTTTAAATATTTAAAATATCAGTTCATTTTTACGTCTGATAAATTATTTTTCGAAAACTAGTAAAAATTATGAATAAAGGTTCATCAGCAGCAGTGAAGATGCTTACAAAAAATAAATAAATAAAAATTACGAGTTATTTTGAAACTATTTAATGCGTACAATGAAATATTTAATATTATGCATTTTTTCTTAGTGTATGCATATGCTGAATTATGGTTTTTTAAAAAATAACAGTTATAAACGATGAGAATAGTTATAAGAAAAACGCAATTCTTAATTCTTTGAATTTAGTTATTTTATTCTGAAATTAAAAGCTGAATGAGGAATACTTTTGAAATTTTTATAAATGCATATTATCCTCATAATTTATTCAATGTATTGTTACTGAAAAAAAAAATTGTATTTTAATTTTGGCTCCTCTCTTTCATTCTCATTTAACATAAAGAAGTCGATAGATGCAAGCGAAAAATTTAATAAATTAGGGATTATTGATTAGAAATAAATATGAATATACGGTTAAAAATATCCTAACTTTTGGAACACCTACTTTACACGGAACCTTAGGGTTCCGCGGAATACGTTTTGGTATTCGCTGCCTTAGATAAAGCATTCTAATAGATGCAACACACTTTTGCTCTTAGTTGTTTAAAGAATAATGGTTGCTAAGCGTTTAAAAGCAATTGGTTATACATTTGTAGTGGTTTGTAACATTTGTTGAAATAGAGTTGTCTGGCTGACTACACAACGCCGGAAAGGGTTGAAAGCTTGTTTCATCATCAATAGCTCAACAACAATGAATATTTATTTATCACACATAAACAACATGTCCAAATTCATACAAAAATGTTTCGGATTGCTTATGAAAACACAATACAATAAAAACTTTTTAATACCCAGCGTTTCAAATATTATAGATTTTTTTTTTAAAGTCATGTCACTATTGAAACATTTGTTAAAAAATTCAAAACACTACATCAAAAATTGATATAGATAATATTTTTAAACAAATTCTTTTAAAGCAATCATATCATATTTTAAAAATTCAAGTGTTAATTATCGTAGTTAAATAGTATAATTGAAGAAGTATCGATATTTGTTAGCATAAATTGCAACCAATTTTTTTGGGAAAAAAATACAAAAAAGCAACATATTTTTTTTATTTCATTAATACATACAAGGAACTAAAACAAAACGTATAGACAAGTTTAAAGTTGAAAATTTATTATTATTATTATTTTTCTTGTGCAACATTTTATTTACAATCAGTTTACAACCGAGTTATCAGGGGAAAATGAAAATAGTTAAATGTGATAATTTTTAAAACAAGGGACAATGCAAAAGTGGTAGTTTCCAAACGCCAGTGAATTGATACGACATTTCTTTTTAACTTTTTTTTTCTATGGAAATTCAGCAACTATGGTATATACAATCACACAAAATTCGTGTGCAGTTGTTCCACAATCCATTAGCATAACTCCCAAACAAAACTTGGCAAACTTGCAATCACAGCAAATTATTATTTTGCATCCAGCAGAGTGAAAACCTGATAAAACGAAACGTAACGGCAAATTCTGCTACGTCCGAGTTATCTCGGGATAATAAATGCTTGCAATATATACATACCCGAATTAACTCGGGATAATCAGAGTGAATAGGATAATAAAAAGATAATAATCGTGGATAAAGATCTGGATAATAAAAAGATAATGGCAAAACATTGAAAACGTTTTAAGTTTTAAAATGCAAAATTCAGCTACGCTCGAAGAAAAAAAAATATATCCGAACACTTGTAATTTATGAATTCCTGAAAGCAAGCATGACAATTGGATAAGATCAGTTTAAAACCGGATGCATCTAATATGGATTGAAAAAGAAGCACGTATTTTAGATGCATATCTTTTTGAGGTCAGTTTACACGGGGGAAGGGATTGAGCTTTTTTTCACTAACATTCTATAATAGATTTGAAAGAGATGCAAACATGGCTAACACAAAGAAAAAGCAGCGAAAAATATTCCATGAAATAATACATTAAATTAACAAATTATAGAAAGAAAACTAAAAAATACTATATAAGAAGCAATGGCCGATAAAACAATGACAATCACGAAACTTCTCTTATCTTTGTGACGTGTTTATTATACATCATTTACATATCAAAACCAGACAAACACAGCTTCGATTAATATAATTTCTTGATTAAAAGAAATCACGATTTTTCTCTTCTGAATTGAACAAATACAATACCTAGATATCGAAACAGGAGCTTTTTCCTCTAACATACAAAACAATTATCAACTACAATTATGTTTAAATTCATGCGACTTATGGGGGTTATATGCAAATTGAAAAATATGAAATAAGGTAAGTTTATTTTTAACAACTATTAAATGACAAACAAAGAATTTAGTAAGCAATTAACTGATGTATAAATACAAAACTAACCGATATATAACTGAAAAATAAAATAATGCATAGATTGTATAATTACAAATGAATAAATTAAAAATGAACTAGAGCAATTTCTAAGAAACGGCATATTATAAATAAGAGATCATACTTAGAATCAGTTAACCTTGCAGCAAGCTCGTTTAATATGAGCGATACACTAAATTAACTAAGGCAAGCAATTAACTAAGAAACGACACTTTATAAAGAAGAGATCATGCTCGTAGTTAACCTATTAACTGGTGCACGTTTTTGTGAGAGATACACTAAATTAACTAAGGCAAGCAATTAACTAAGAAACGACACGTTATAAAGAAGAGATCATGCTCGTAGTTAACCTTTTAACTGGTGCACGTTTTTGAGAGAGATACACTAAATTAACTAAGGCAAGCAATTAACTAAGACACGACACATTATAAAGAAGAGATCATGCTCGTAGTTAACCTTTTAACTGGTGCACGTTTTTGCGAGAGATACACTAAATTAACTAAGGCAAAGCTATTAACTAAGACACGCCACATTATAAAGAAGAGATCATGCTCGTAATTAACCTTTTAACTGGTGCACATTTTTGCGAGAGATACACTAAATTACCTAGAGCAATTCACTAAGAACTGACACACGAACGGCCATAAAATTGGTACGAAAATATATTTGAAATTAAAGAGAAATAATAATTCAATTCAAAGCTTATCTTGAAAATTTAAGAATTTTAGTTTACAAAGATAATAAATTTCACAGTTCAATAGAGTTAGTGGAACAAAAAAATGAATAGATAAATAAAATAAATAAATAACTAAAATTAAAATTACAGCTATCAGAAAAGAACAATAGGGAATTATTAAGTTCTATTTTGATTAAAAAAAAGAATTATGAGATTTATAATTTTTCACTAGCTTTCATTCTCTTTTTATTTATTTACTTAATTTTTACGAAAATTAAAAAATTTCAGTACTTTCCATCAAAAAAGAGCAACAAAGAAAAAAAAAAAAAAAATATCGATTTACGCCACTGATATCAAACGCTTGAAATTTAAAAACGTAGAATTACATTCTTAGCTCTGCAATTTCCATTNTTTTTTTTTTTTTTTTTTTTAAATCAAAAAACACAAGGAAGGATGTAAAGGTGGTGAGAACAGTATCAATCAAAATCAACAAAACCTTCAGAACTTTTAACTCGCGTGATTGCAGAAGCGATAAACTTTTGTCGTTTTTTATTTCACCTTTTACACATTAAAGGTCAAAGAGAGGAAGTTTAATATCAATCTGATAATTCAAATTATTTTTTTTTAATCGAAGTGCAATAACGACACGAAAATTAGAAAATATATTACCGGGCTAATCTTTTCCATCTATTTTTATACAAGTAAAAAAGGTTATTAACATTTTTTTCTTCGTACTTCAAAAAAAAATTTATTTGCACGAAATTGTTGAAACATTCGATAACTAAAAATAAAGCTTAAATGGTAATAAAATGATTTAAAAAATTTCTTTTAGTGTTATGTAGAAATGAAGTTTCCAAAACATTTAAAAAAATAACAATGATTTATTTTTAAAATTAAATAAAATTATAGGGTCGATAAACGTTGATATGAAACACATTTAAATTTTAAATGGGATATATGCTAAATTTTTACACTGCGAAAAAAAAGTTTAATTACCAGGATATGTTAAAATTACCAGATTACGGTAAAATTTACTGTGTTTCTGGTTATATGGAAACACCAAAAGCTAGGTAATTTTTACTGATGCGCTTTGGAAATGATTTTGGTAAAATTAAAAATAAAATATGGTTTCATAATGTATAAAAAATGTTTGTAAAGGTGGTGAATTCGGTCATTTTATCATGACACTTTAGAGCACGGCATAAAAACCATTTATTCGGTTAAATTTCCTTTTCAGTTTTGTATATTTTACTAAATGTTTGGGAATCAAAACTAATTTTGAAAAGCGGAATTACAGATAAACCCTTACCACATAAATAAAAAAATTACCAAATGAATACTATAAATACCGTATATTTTGGTTTTATTAACTTGAATTATGGTTCTTTTTATCAGAAATATGAAAATCATACTGTACTGAATTGTACTCTAATTATAATCGCAATTTTTTTTCCGAGTAAGAAATATATCAAACTATTTGCCTTTATAACAGATATAT